CCAAGGAGATCCCTGAAGAGGCCAAAGTCTGCTCTCCTGCCGTCCAGGGTAGTGAGCTTGCTGTGCGCCTTCCTCGGTGCCCTAAGGATCTTGAGCTCAACCATTTTGTGGTCACTGCAGCCCAGGCTGCCCTTGAGCTTCACATTCCCCACCAGCCCCTCCTTGCTGATGAGAACAAGGTCCAGCGTAGCACCTCTCCTCATTGGCTCTTCTGCCACTTGGAGAAGGAAATTATTATCGATGCATTCCAGGAACCTTCTGGATTGCTTATGCCCTGCCGTGTTATCCCTCCAACAGATATCGGGGAGGTTGAAGTCCCCCATGAGGACCAGGGCTTGTGAGTGTGAGGCTGCTCCTATCTGTCTATAGAGGGCCTCATCCACTCTGTCTTCCTGGTCGGGTGGCCTGTAGCAGACCCCCACCGTAATGTCACCTGTCCCCGCCCTCCCTTTAATTCTGACCCATAAGCTCTCAGTCAGCTCCTCATCCATCCCCAGGCAGAGCTCCAGGCACTCCAGCTGGTCGTTGACATAAAGGATAGCCCTGCAGGCATGCGCACGTCTCTAACTCATGTTTATTCCCCATGCTACGTGCATTTGCATAGAGGCATTGAAGTTGGGCCCCCGATGAAGCTGTCTTACTGGCTGGAGTTCCTTTGTGCTGCTCTTCAGGCGCTCTCCTGCTGACCTGTGTTCCTTCTCCAGGCTCTGGGCATCTATTGCTGGCCCTGGCATCAAACTGGTAGGAGTGGGATGGATTGAGGTTCCCCTAACCCGGCAACTTTAGTTTAAAGCCCTCTTCACCAGCTTGGCAAGCCTATGACCAAAGATGCTCTTCCCCTTCTGACAGATGGACCCCATCAGCTATTTACTTGCTTATGCTGTATTACCCAATTCTGAAAAGTTGCATGATTTCCAAGTAACTACTCGAATTAAGAGTGTTCTGATGGGAATGATTTTGCGAAATCAGGGCTAGAGGTCTCACTGGTGATGCAGCCACTGTTCAAGAATACTGATTTATAATACCACTCAATCCAGTTGCATAAGCTAGACCATGATGCATTCTGCTATGATACAGCCGTGGGGAGTACAGACACACAGAAAGACTACTTTAGTAACGACAATCTTCCCAGCTTTAATTTTATGCACAAGTAAAGCGGCATTAAAAACTTAAATCCAACCAAGCTGCTCCTGCGTATAAGGAGGAGCAGAATGATCAGAAGCTGTGCTTAAAAACATCAGTTTCAGACAGCCCATACTGGTCCCGCAAACAAATTATGATGTGTTTAATAATACCTTGCTAAAGGTGAGCAAAATGCTGCAGCTGGTGTGGAAAACTCCATAGTCCTCGACTCCAGAACTTCCTTCCCTGGAATAAACTTCAAACTATTTGGATTTGGTGTGTCCTGAGTTTGAATAAACATGCCTCTTACTGGAAATTAAAAAAAAAAAAAAAAAGAAGAAGAAAAATAATGTAATCAAACCTAAGTAGCTTAAATGAAAGTCAAGGATCCTGATTACTTAGCAAGCCAAGACCAGGGTGATCACTGTGCTACAGCAAACCGCAGCCTGTGCAGCAACGATAGTTTAAAAACACAATACAATGGGTTCCGTGAAAGCCTCCAGACTGACATGAAGACTGATAAACACAGGCATGTTATCTCACAGGGAACACGATGATAAATGGAACCTTGTCTTTGCTTCTTTTGCTACCTTTTATTTACTAAAAAGCATCCTGCTGCAACAGTATCGAACTGCATGAGGCCAGTACCATCCTCGCTTTCTACTGAAGGCCAAGAGATGGAACCTTCATTTCTCTGTTGGGTTTAGGGGTTTTTTTTATTTTATGATCCTCAAATGCTGTTAAGTCCCTCTTCCAGCATTGTCACTTCCTGTTCAAAGCATACTCAGTTTTACTAACCCCCTCTTCAAGATACACATGATTTATGGGGTTTGGTTTTTATTTCATTTTTCAGCACTATTAAAAAAAAAAACCAACCAAGCATAACAACAGTTACAGTGAGCCACACCCTGCTTACAATATTTTCCACAGAGTGAAAAATTACTGTAAGCTATCACTTATCCTCCAGAAATTGAACTGACGGTCAAACAATTCAGAGTAAAATTATTTACAGTTCACTGGTAAAGATGTTTAAAAGATAAATTTTTACTGAAGTTCCTTTTGCGGCGTGGGTCTTTCTTTCACTAGAAGAGTGTAAAAAAACCTGATCTTGACTAAAATTTAATACTTTGCATTTAATGGTGTACATTTAGTTGTGTATTTTCCTGTAGACATATCCACGCAGCATATGCCTGATGTCCCACTGAAGCTGAACATCAGTTAGGGACAGTTTCCCGTGTTCTAATTCTCTTTCTAGTTCTCCTTCTTTCTAACTCTCCCTGCACATCAAGTAACAGAATGATATACGAACATTCAGGAAAGAAAAAATGCATTTTAAAAACAAAAACCTCTAGGACCTAATATTCATAAATAAATTATACTTGAGAAACAAGCTCACATAACTTCAAAAAATAGGCAATAGAGGGATTTAAAGCAGCAAAAAGAGCTGACATTTTCATTTTCGTAAACTGCCATTTTGCCCATGACTCCCTAGTATTAGATGACAAATCACGCTATTTATAAATTGCCAAATTGTTACTGCATGTGTCTGTCATGGTAACAACCCATTTGACTTGAACACACACAATGGCAAAGTACACACACACTAAATTTTCTTTTTTTTTTTTTTTTTAATGCTTTTTCTTTTTTTTTTTTTTTTAAAGGAAAAAAGACTTAGCACAGAAATACTTAGTTTTAACATGAAAAGAATAATCCCGATAGAGCAAGTAACTAGTCAGCTTTATCCATGGGGATGGAAGAACTACTCATCTTCCAGATCCAGCTGGCACCCAAAATCACATCCAGCGTAATGGTGTAGTTTACAAATAACCAACAACAGGGGATCTGGATGGCATAAATGGAGCACACTCTGCCCATTTTTTGAAAGCAATGTAGCTATCATACATTGTTCTTCTAGCACCTCTAACACCCTAAACCACAAATGGCTCTATCAGCTCTCAGAAAAGGCGTCCATGTGCATAGCCGCTGTATTTTAAAAGTGTCTTCTGCAGTTGAAGATCGGCCTTCCTAAGACCAGGTTTTCCAACCATTAATCAACCTGGAGAGTTCTTTGCACAGCTGTGAATAACCCCTTTGGAATTTATTATTCAGTAGTCGGTAACTGCCTGTATTTACATCAAACATCTATATCGTCCCTTTCAACCTTCTGCGGAACGCTGTGAATACCTGCTTATTATTCTGTTCCACCACCTGCTCAAGATAAGAGGAAGATACCAAATAGAGGCCAACTTTAGTAGGACACTTGCAGAAGCAGGTAAAATACTAAGTCTACTCGTCAGAGTCTGCCTGTTGATTAGAACTGAAACAGAAAAAATGGTGCTGGACCAGATAAGATTGGACTTCTCTGAAATAAAAATTAAAAAGAAACTTCTGCCTGAGCAGACTAATTTAAATAAGATTTCTATTTGTGACTAATTCCATGCAACAGCACCTGCAGAATTTTTTTTGTCTTAGACTCTTTCTACCACAGCATTGGAGAGCAGTTGCTAAATCCTTCGGGCAGGTGCAAAAGCACAATGTTTTTCTGAGGTGCAAGTTTCACAGGGCAGGTGCAAAAGCACAATGTTTTTCTGTGGTGCAAATTTCACAGCTTTTTTTTTTTTTTTCCTTTTTTTTCCTTTTCTGAGCATTAAAATCTACCAGAAAAATGGTAGGTACAACAAACTCAATCTTAAACATTGCTTTTTCAGGGTAATACCAAGCTGCAGATAATATTAATGGAGAATACCATTAATGTGCCATACATGGATGCATGTTCAAGAGGGGGAAAATTAAAAAAAGAAAATATTGCAGCTCTAAGAATGAAAGGCTTCGCTTTCATCCTTGCTAGGTTCTATCTGGATAGCCTGCAATTTTATCTGGCAGAGCTCAGCAGCTGAAGCAGGACAGAAGGCAACATGAAGTCTTTCACAAGAGATATATTTACACTAAGATAGAATTTAAATTAAGTGCAGCAAAGCCCAAATAATATTTTGCACCAACAAAGCCCCCTGTAAGTCTTGGCAGCTGAATGACATAGGAAAAACATGTATAATCAAGCACACCATGAGCCATCCAAATCTTCTCCCCAAGCTCCAAATGCACTAGCACTTCATTAAAAACCACCTAGGAAATGTTATCACACTCAGATTTCAAAACAAATACTAGGCTTTCATTATTACCACGAAACATAAAAACTCACAATGCACTCATCTATTCATTTTTAGCTAGTATTTACCTGCATTATGCCATACTGCAGATGGAAGAAATGGTTTCTTTGGTGCAAGGTGGTGGAAAGACTGTTGAGTTGTCAAATTATGATCTTTTAACATCGTACGACAGAACCTAGAGAAAAATAATTTTACTAACAATTTGCAAATTACAAGTTTGCACTCCCGCACTTCTCCACAGAAAAGAGTATTTCACACGCTTCTAGCAACGCCAGAACTCAGCAAGACGCTCACCTACCTTAAACCTCTCAGGTAATGTAGCAAGCTCACAGGCTAGATTACAAAACATCCCTTACTTTTTCCCCTTTTCAGTGCTCCCTCTCTCTCATAACAAAACAGACATACCTCTCCAATTTTAGCCACCTAAAAAATTAATCTAGACTCCTTCACAGTCACTAAAGACAGGCAAATCACCTTACTTACCTATAACAGAAGAGGATAAATCACCCTAGGGGAGCTTTTTGTCTTCCTTTTGACACCTTTTGACAGCACCTGGAAATCTAGCTTAGACTAAATACCTAATTTTCAGAAGATTACAGACAGCTGAGATGAATCCAACCCCCAGCACCTGAGGCTAAATCAGGGGCAGAATTTACTCCTATACTCTGCAGGTTTAGCTGGTCAAACATATGGCTCTCCTATATGACTCCTGGAAGATACAAGACAGGCTAAAAAGGTACTGCAACAACTACTTCCACAAACAATTCTTATAAGAAAAAAAATACCAGGACAACATTTGGATAAAAGATTAAAACTCTACTAGCTACGCGTACCAAGCCATACCTCATCCCTGTCCACCTCTACATATTTCTTCCCTTTGGGTAATAAAGAAATTCAGTATATTCCAGTATAAGTACTGTTCTAGAATGAAACCAGACCAGTTAAAAAGAGGTCCATACTGGCCACATAACTCGCACTAGCAGTCAAAATAGGGGTGGTGTCATCTGCTCAGATGAAGTTAAAAGCGGGGGAAAGCAGAGAGGAAAAAAGAAAAAAAACATTAAGAGAAAAAGCAAGGCGGAGTGATGGAGTAACAGGCCTAACTTTCAAATGTGTAAATACTTGCTTGCACATCCAATTTCCATAACTGCTTTTTTCAGAGCAAAGTAAAAATCGGAAAATGTAACTAAACCCCACCTCATGTCACAGACAACATGGAAAAATATTACATACAGAGGATTAATTATTATCTGGTTCCTCTCCTCCTTATCAAGTACAGAGGGGAGAAAGCAGGTAAACTAAATAAACTACAGCTGCAGGGGCTGTTTCTAAGAGAGGAGGCTGATTATCGCAGGGGGTCATAAATCAGAACCACAGGCACTACACCTAGGCCCACGTTCCTCAAACATGGGAAGAGGAGAAAAGCTCTGTCTCACGAAACGGACCTCCCCGCTGCAAGTGAGGGAGACACGAACACAGAAAAGGTCTAAATCATGTTATTTGCTTACTTTTGTGGTCTTGATAGCAGGTACAGAGACCACAACGGGATGTGTGAGGAAGACCCCCCCCCAAGAGAAAAGTTCTCCTTTCTCCCTTTAGCTTTGGGGAATAAAGGTTACAGTCCACGGCACGGGGCAGGAGGTGCGCCCATCACCACATGGCCCTTTGAATTTGCCCTCATTACAGTCTTTAGCCACTATAGGGCGGAAATTCCCCTTATTGCTTGGCCCTGAGGATACATGTGTGGGGGAGTTAACTGCCCCCTCATTGCATGATCCTGTCCACATGGCGGGGGGGGGTGGGAATTACCCCTCGTTGCACGGTCCTGAGCACATGTGGGGGGAATTCCCCCTCATTGCTCACACCTATGTGCGCAGGGGGGCGAACAGTCCCTCAGGGGACGGCCCTCAGCACCTGCGTGTCGGGGGGAATTAACGCCTCGCTGTTGTAACGGGGTTAAGGGAAGAAACAGACTCTCGCCGCCCGTCTGTAACGAGGAGAAGGAAGAAATGACTCCACCCTCGTCCGCCCTGCTGCAGCGGGAAAGGAAAGGGGAAGAGCGAGAAGAGG